CATGCAGTAGGCTGTGTGCATTACAATGACAGTGGATTTATTTCATAGTTGAGACAAAAATGTAAATATTTCATAAATATTGTGGTATAGTTTTGAAGTTAAATGTGCTATGTAACTTTTTTGGTGTTACAGCTTGTAATGTTATGTTTTGCCTGAAATGTTACACAGTATAGCATTACTTAAACAATTTTTTACTATGAGCTCCACAGATTTGATCTGTAACTTGGTGAATTGGTGTCACCTGCTTTTGTGTTCTTGCCATATTATGGGACATTTCAAGCAAAGTAATGTTATCTCCATGGAGACAATTAGAAGAAAAGCTATATACACTTAAAATAAATAACTACTACTACTACTACTACTACTACTACTACTACTACTACTACTACTACTAATAATAATAATAATAATAATAATAATAATAATAATAATATAATAATATAATTATTATTATTATTATTATTATTATTATTATTATTATTATTTATTTATTTTTTTTATTATAAAAAAATGATGTAACATGCTATTTTGCTTTGAAGATTTAGATTTATTTCTGCTAATATTTTCTAAATAATTTTAATCTATCTACCATTTCCCTTGGCATTATTAAAGTCATATCTTATTTTATTATTCTGCTGTAGGTGTCTGCTATAATAATATATTATAAATCAAATGGAACAATTACAAAGAAATTGCAAGGTAAAAGAAGAATTTCCATATTTCAGTACGGACAGCTCCTATACCACTCATCCCTGCTTTCTGTTTATGGTCAGTTCATCATCTATGCATAAAAAAGTCACATCATCCACATAAAGACAGGGAAGGGCATCTGACATAATAGCCTGCAGATTCATTGTACTGTACATACATCTTAGAAACAAATACTATCACTGCAGCAATATTGTTTTGAAGTGTACTGTAGGAAATACTTATCTTTTTCTAGCACCATGGACAGCTCCAGTTTTTTTTCAGTTCACCATTTTCATATATAATTTTACATTTTTGACCTGATTGTCTCCATGGAGCTGCTGATGCTTTCCCTTAAAAGTTCCACAGTATGGCATTAAACATGTCTGTATCCATGGAAACAAGCAGATGACACTAACAGGCAAAGTTACAGGTTAGAAATGTGAAGAGGCGACCCTGCTTACATGCTTTTCTGTGTATTTTTGAGCATAAACACATTTAATTATTAATTGTATAAATGCAACATACATAAGTCTAATGCCATACTGTGGGACATTCAAGGCAAAGTAATGTTACACCAGAAATGTTACACAGTGCAGCTTTAAAATTAACCACAAGATCTTCAAAAGTATCACTTCAGTGTACCCTCAAAAATAAATAAATAAAAGTATGTTGTTTATGGAAATACGGGAAGGGCACCCAGCTTAAAAACCCTACACAATAATTGTACAGACAAATAAACAGACACAATATAAGCAACAATATGCTTTTGTTTGAAGTAAACTTGCAAAAGAAAAGATAAAAGAAAGTTTATTTTGGATAATTCTGCTGTTTAATCATCAAATGCATTCCCCAGAGTGCACCTGCTGTTAAGAGCTTGTGTGAGTTCTTCTTCTTCTATTTTTATATTTTTTCATTTTTGTGTCAAAGTTCTTTTAGTGGCACCGCAAACAAGAGAGTTTACCCGTCGTTTTTTTCTCCATGTTCCGACTGTAGCTGTAGAAGCAAGGGCCACGTTAAGTTCACTGTACTTTCTTTCATGTTCACATTGATTTGCTCACTCTGCTCTACTTTTCCTCCCACATCCACAAACATTCAGGTCAGGTAGATTAGAGATTCTATAAATGTTTCTCTCAGCTCCGAGTGAGTGCAGGATTCACCGAAGACCCAGGCCTGTCTCTTACACAGACAAAATGGCCACCTTTCAAGCTCGGTACTGTAATGGATTTAAAAGAGGCAAGTCAGGTCAGAAAGAAAGTTTGTTTAGATGTGGGATGCGGATTTTACTATGAACAGTTATTGGACGGTTTCCATTGTGACAGCAGTGACTTCTGAATTGTACTCTTTTTGTTTTTGTGTGTCTCTGTATGCATGTGCGTGCGTGTGAATAGATTGTAGTTTAGAAAATAGACTACTGACTGCTTAGCAAAAAAAAAAAAAAAATCATATCTTTTTTTTACTTGCGAAAGTGTTGCTTATGCACGTGAAGATGAATAGTACACAAAATGTTCCTCTTGTCTTGTCGTGTCTTTATGTCAGCATACTTGTTATCGGGAGAATGTGGTTGCTAAGACTTGACTCCATAGCCAGATGAACAGTTACATGAAAGAAGTTTAATAACATCAGGATGTTCCATGTTACATCTTCGTGAGCGGCCCAGGGAGGTCGAGACGAAAGAAAACCAACAGTACTTATAGTTTTATGATAATGAGTAGAATGGACGTGTGTACACATGAAACCTTGGTACAGAGAATATACATAGAAGACAAAAGTACATATAGGAAACTCATGGCTGCTGTATCTGCTCCAGTGTAACGGAGGCATGGAGATGTCTGTAGTATATCACTTAACGGAACATTGTAAGCTCCAGTTAAACATAGCGGTAAATTGTAACATACAGCTGGAGAAGAAGTTTCATGCTTACAATACTTAAAGGTGCACTATGTAACTTCTTTGCCCGGAATGTTCCAGGGTATGGCATTAAACATATATCTCTTGCATTTTAAGTTCTTGGGTTCTTTTTAAGGACAATACAGTAAAATGTATTTACCTTGTTGACATGTTTCGGCTGCAAGCCATCTTCAGAACTGTCCCCGGTGTTGGTGGTGACGTGTCATGTATCAGCTGTTGTTATTTCCTGTAGGCGTGGTCAGCCTGATTGACCTGGGAGGTGACTCAGACTGACCACGCGTTCCATTGCCCAGTGTTCTCTGGAGGAGGGTGTCCCAGGTGTGTGAAAGGAGGAACGTTCCGTCATCACAATCAATGCTGTCCGTGCCTTGTTTCCTGATTTCAATGGCCTCCCTGATCCAGCGACTGAACTTATTGTTTTCCAAAGATCAATGACCCATCTCAATCCATAATGTGGTTATTTCTTGGTCCGATATGGATTTAAGGTTTACCTGTTCTGCCTTGTCTTCTTTTTTTTGGTGTGTTCTGGTGAGTCTCCTTGATGTTTTCCTTTCACATTCCTTTTGGTGGTCCTTATTTGGATGTGAAATTCTCGACCCGTTTCCCCTATATATGACTTATTGCATGATTTGCATTGGATTTTTTTTTTTTTTTATATGGTGTTGCATTTTTGTTCTTGTGGGACTTTATCTTTGGGGTGTACTAGCTGTTGGCCGAGTTTTGTAAATGCCTTTAAAAAAATTTGAATTTAAATGTATTTATTTGGAGGATAAGCCCCTTGAGATGTGTCACCATCTCGTTTTCAAGGGGGTCCCAAAAGATCCCAAGAAGTTAAAACACGTAAGAAGACAACATGAATATCTTTGGCTTTATATTTCTTGCATTTGTTCAATTGCAGGTGTTTTAAAGCTCAAAAATACCTAGCTCCATTTTGATGGCCATGTTTATTTCAATACTGTGGAATAATCAATGCAAAACAATAAAATCTCTAAGAAGACAAGCAGGTGGCGGACCCTCTACTAGAAAAGTTACACAATCCACATTTAAGTTAGAGCAATCTATTTTGTATTATACTGTATTTATTATGTTATTTAAAATGTGTAAACGACTCCTTTAATCCAAGTCCATAAACGTTCATATTTATTCTAGCTTTTGAGACTTTACCTCTTTCTTCCACAATGCTGCAACAATTAACACAGTCCAACGGTTTCACAGAAGAAAACCATACAGATCTATAACATTTTGATTAGCTGTCAGCAGGGATTTAGCTTTTAAATACCTTCTACAAAATGACTATATTTCTCCTCACCTGTCATCACAGTCATTGCAACTACCTGCGTTTAAACACTGCACCTTATATTGCATAGACAAGTAGAAAAAAAAAATCATTGCAGACAGAGTTAATCACTAAAGGCCTATCAATCACCGCTAAGGGGAGTCATAACATCATCTCTCCTGTGCGCGGTAAATCTTAATCAAAGTTGACGTTGTTTGTATTCCAACAGTTTCCCGGGGCCCCATACGTGTTCCAAAACAAATTCCCCACTTCCATTTGGACTTGCTCTACAATCTTCTCACATACGTGCCTTTGAGGAACCGTCGCTGTAATCAGGCATTTCCAGATTTCGCGACTCGATTGAAGGGGTGGTGGGTGGCGAGCGGGCCTATTATTTATGTCCCCAAGTCTCTAATATAAATCACACTGTGCCAGTCAAAACAGCTTTCCTTTTCCGTCCCTTCTTCTCGCTCCTACAGAGATATAGCAGAGGAGTAGCTAGTTTTATTGTGATTTTGTTTTATACCACTGAGATGGGAGCGCGCGAGGAGGACAGTGTTGCCCGAAAACAAGAATTGATGTTCGGCACTACATCAAGGTTGTGATTGTGTGTGTGGGTGCCAGTGTGTGATTATTAGTGGCCAGCACACGGAGTACGGAGAAGTAAAGCAGCTGTTTGGACACTGGAAGGTCTTAGAGATAACAGTTTAATGTGTGTCCACAGGTGTGAGAAACAAAACAAGTAACTTCAGTCAAACACAAGAAAATACTGGCTTGGTTTTGTAGTACACTTTAAAAATGTGATAAGCTTCTCACTGCAGAGTAAAAAAGAAAGATGGGAGAGTAAAAAAGAAAGATAGAATGAAGACAAGATATCTGTTGACCTTACACACTACAGTAAAACAACTGAAATGATGTTATGAATCGATATTTCCTGAACTAATAAAGTTTGGAAAGTTTTAATCAATCTCAGACTTAACAATTCTCTTGTTTTTTGTATTTGTCTAAAACATGTAACAAGAATGAATTGGGTTGTAGTGATCTAATGTATACTTTTTTGTTTCTTGTCTTTCAGCGTGCCCACATCCTCTTTCCAAAGAGTGGAAGACCAGTCAACGAATTATGAATGTTAAACAAGATGACCTCCTCTCAGCAGCAGCAGACGATGCGAGGTCCTAGGTGGAACCGGGCCTTGACCGACCCTTTGTTCGTGCTGCTCTTGGCCCTCCAGCTGCTGGTGGTGGCAGGGCTGGTGCGCGCTCAGACCTGCCCCTCTGTCTGCTCTTGTAGTAATCAGTTCAGCAAAGTCATCTGCACTCGTCGGGGCCTGAGGGAAGTCCCCGATGGCATCTCCACCAACACGCGCTACCTGAATCTGCAAGAAAATCTCATTCAGGTCATAAAGGTGGACAGCTTCAAGCACCTCAGACATCTGGAGATCCTACAGCTAAGCAAAAACCACATACGGAAAATTGAGCTGGGGGCTTTCAATGGACTGGCCAATCTCAACACCTTGGAGCTCTTTGATAACCGCCTCACTACTATCCCAAACGGGGCGTTCGAGTATCTGTCCAAGCTGAAGGAGCTTTGGCTGAGGAATAACCCCATTGAGAGTATCCCCTCCTATGCTTTCAACCGTGTGCCCTCACTGCGGCGCCTGGACCTTGGGGAGCTCAAACGGCTCTCCTACATATCCGAGGGGGCCTTTGAAGGGCTAAGCAATCTGAGATACCTAAATCTGGGAATGTGCAATTTAAAGGAAATTCCCAACCTTATTCCCCTTGTAAAGTTGGATGAACTGGAGATGTCCGGGAACCAGCTGTCCATCGTCCGGCCTGGCTCTTTTAAAGGGCTCATACATTTGCAGAAACTTTGGATGATGCATGCCCAGATCCAGACCATTGAGCGTAACTCTTTTGACGACCTGCAGTCACTGGTGGAGCTAAATCTGGCCCACAATAATCTTACTCTTTTGCCTCATGACCTGTTCACCCCTTTGCATCGCTTGGAGAGGGTTCACTTACATCACAACCCTTGGAATTGTAACTGTGACATTTTATGGTTAAGCTGGTGGCTAAAGGAGATGGTACCGGCTAACACAAGCTGCTGTGCAAGGTGCAGTTCACCCACACACCACAAGGGACGCTACATCGGCGAACTGGACCAGAACTACTTTCACTGTTATGCTCCTGTTATTGTGGAGCCCCCTGCGGACCTGAACGTGACCGAGGGCAGCGCTGCGGAGCTGAAATGCAGAGCCAGTTCTTTGACCTCTGTCAGTTGGATTACGCCGAACGGTTCGATCATGACACACGGAGCATATAAAGTCAGGATATCAGTGCTAAATGACGGGACGCTGAACTTTACCAACGTCACCATGCAAGACACTGGAACTTACACTTGTATGGTGAGCAATTCGGCTGGCAACACAACCGCGTCCGCAACTCTTAACGTTTCTTCGACGGAGAACAGCAGCTTCAGCTATTTCACCACAGTGACAGTGGAGACTATCGAATCGCCGCACCAGGAAGGAGTGACTACAACTGTGCATCAAAGAGTCGGCCCCACCGCATCCGCCGGTATGTGGGAAACAGTGTCCCCAACTTCAACCACGACGACTACAGTTCGAACGCCAATGTCAACACGCGCTACCGAGAGAACCTACACTATCCCTGTCACGGATATTGACGGTACCCTGAACGGTCTGGATGAGGTGATGAAGACAACCAAGATCATCATCGGTTGCTTCGTGGCGATTACGCTCATGGCTGCCGTCATGCTGATCATCTTCTACAAAATGAGGAAGCAGCACCACCACCAGAACCACCACGCCCCGACGCGCACCATCGAGATTATAAACGTGGACGAGGACTGCGTGACAGGGGGGCCCGGCATGGAGGGTCACCTGACTTTGCCCCCTCTGGAACACGAGCATCTAAATCATTACAATACGTACAAGACTGCGTACAACCACGCCACCATCAACTCTATACACAGTTCTGCTCATGAACCTTTGCTAATCCGAGCCAGTTCAAAAGACAATGTTCAAGAGACCCAGATCTGAAACGCTTTTCTTTTCTTTTGTCTCTCCCAAGACTTTATCGCTGATGACTGATGGGAATTACAGCAAGACAATGCAAAAAGATACTACTCTGAGGAAGAGACTAGACTTTTGGAAAGCAGTAGTTGGTGATGTTTATTCAATGACTTTGGGAACTAGGGTATGTCTACTGTTTCAAAGTGTCTTTACAAAAACAGAAGTTATTTATTTAAGAAAAACTATTGTGATTAAATCAAGAAAAACTGTATTCTGCAATTATTTTTTCAGCACTTATTTCATGTGTTGTCATTCCATTCTCGCTCATTCTGATGGGATTGGGTTGCTAATATGCGTTCAAACTCTTCAAGACATCTGTTGAAGAAAAAAAAAGAATCCTTGAGCGTTCGTCTTTTTTTTAATAAACCACAGACTTCAGATCAGACAAGATAGTGACCTAATTTCCCCCCATGTATCAAAGGAGTAGCGCACATTAGTGGTTTTCTCCAGCTGTGGGTTAAGTGACGAAATCTTTTGTGACCATCTGTACAACTGAGATGAATGAAACACTAATTCATTATTTTACAGTGAGTGGCAAGACTGTTGAGTGATGAAATTTGATTATCAATGTTTAATTCTAGCCACCACATGCGCATTAGCTAATTTGTTGTCGCCAATAGCCCTGAATGTAATATGTCCTTTGTTATTTCATTTGTACAATCAAAGATCACACATTACACAGAGTTTTTGTTTGATTAAATTATATTGATTCACAACAATGAGATACTTTTACACCTGTTTTTGTTTTGCAAATGTATATAAGACATATCTGACTTGTTTTTTTTTTATGTTAGGAAAGATGTTTATGTGCATTCTGAGGCAACCCTGTGTAACTTGAAAATTTCCCTCTTGGGGCTTCAAATTTATAGATGCAACCACACAGAGGAATAAAGTTCAGCGTAAAGTTCATCTTAAATTTATGGCAACATTTTCTATCCTTCAAACATAAAAATTTGTGACCTCTTATTTAGTAAAATGTCAATTGAAATTGTCCGTGAAGCTCCAAAAGTACCAATTTCAAAAGCGGATAGTAAAATATGTTAAAAAGTTGCACAGCGTTGCTTCATAGCCCTATCTTAAAATTAATAAAATGAAGTTTATAAAGTGATGAAAGTTTTAATTATCAGAAGAAACTAAGATATTATGGGCAGTAGGTGAGAAATGCATATAAATATATATTTTTTGAAGTAAAGGTACACTGCATGACATCTGCTGCCTGCTTGTCTCCATGGAAATGTTGTTGCTTTGTCTAGAATGTTACTGCACTACACCACATTACAAGTCAGATCTTTGGAGAGTCTCCCCTATTCACAGAAGGAATTACTGTATATTTGAGCAATAGAATCAATAAACGTAATGAATAAATGCTAGATAGAAGAGTTTTAAGTTCAGGCCATGGAACAAAGCAGTAACAGCTCCATGGAGACAACCACAAAAGTTGCGCAGTGCACTTTTAAAGACTATTTTAAACATATTGAAGCAAGTGAACTTCCCCCGGCTCCTACAGTATATATGTCCAATGTAATACCAACAGTTAGTTAATGCATTCACCTTTACCTCCCGCTACTTTGTACCATTGCATCTGAAGGTAATTGCTTTGAAACCGCCTTTTTCACGCTGGGCAGCCCCTCGCCTCATCTCTGGTAGAGCAAACTCATGAGCTGAAGAAAGACCTTAAACCTTTTATACAGTGGTCTGAGCCGCCTGTCATGTCTGTGCCACTTTTCCACTCGGGCAAACGCCTGGCAGCCTCTACATCCCCGCTGCCTGCCCTGCCAACCACAGCTTTTGGCCCACAGCTCACTACAGCTTATGGCCACTGAAGGCTTGGTTTTTTTAGGGGTGAGTGAGTACGGATCGGGCACAGACCAGATGTTTGGGTTGCACCTGCCTTCTCCCCAACTCTCTTAGCAACAACAGCATTTCCATTTTAATTGATGTGCCCATAGGCTTTGAATGGACACGGCTCTGCAGGCGACCCATATTCTGCAAAGTGTTTTGAATCCCCCGCTGTGCACAAATGGTGCCAAGGTCCCGTAAATACACAGGTTAGACTGCATTTTTCACAATAAGGGTATATTTTTAGGCTTAAAGGGGCAGGATGTAATCATTTTGATGGAAGAAGTCTTTTTTTTTTCCTCAAGCAGTGAGAATTGTTTGAAGAAAAAATCAAAATAACTGATTTGTTGTAAATAAGACTACTATACACTAACTATACATTACACTATCCTTTTAATCAATGCAACATTTTTTATTTTATTTTTTTCACATTGACATAAATAGACACATTTAGGCCATAAAAGCTTTTGACTGCTGTGAACAGATAATATCTTGGGGGGTATTTTTATTTACTTGAAACATAAATTATACAATCTGACCTTGAGGCAAGTAAGCTCGAGCATCCCAGTAAGCAATTTAATGCTCATGTAAGCCATAACATTTTCTTTTTCATCAAGAGAACACAATGTTAAAAATGCGTCTTCACTGCAGCTTTCACCAAATACTCTATTAAAACTACTGCCCCCTTGTGGTTGGAATCCTTGCAATGGTACAAAATATAACATATTTACTTTTTTAAACCAACAAACCAACATCCTGAATTGCCTCAGTATCGCCCCATAAATCAGCCTTTTCAATTCAGCTAATGTGTTTGCTCGGGAAGGCGACCCCTTGTCTATTTTACTAACAAAAATATGTTTTATGTTTATCCTTAAATCTTCTGTCTTTCTTTTTTTTTCCATCTGAACACAGTTATTCTCAGTGTTGTACTTTTGTAGAGTTTGGCACATTTGTAAACCTTGGAGGAAACCGGGCTGGTGTCATTTTTGGTGTGTTTGTGTTTCTGGAGGCTGGAAGCTTTGTCATTCTTCTCCATCAGAAATCTCAGCCATTCCTTCCTTTCTGCTTTTTCTTTGGAGGTAATTGTCTGAAAATGTCAATGGTAAATTTGTTGCATTTTAGTCAAGCTGTCTGCTGTATGTAAGATATCTAAATATTTTGAATCTATTTCTTTTTTTCCCACACATTCTTTTCTTTCCAAGAGGGAATGCTGTTCTAGTGATAGATTTCTATAAAAACAAATAAATATAAATAAACACAAAAAAATATATATAAAAAAGAAAAAAACATTTTGAAAATAAACAAAGCAACTTTTTGGGGAAGTTTCATTTTACATGTGCCAACAATCTGTTGAACAAGTGAAAAAGAGAAACACACTGTAAAAGAATACAATTGATTTTCATGTAAGCATTCTTTCATGACCTTTAAAAGATATGGAGACCGATTATAGCGACCAGAGTTTGTAGTTCATACACAAATATGGTTCAAATAAACTATTGTTGTTTTTCGGTATTGTCCGTCTCTTATTTTGATGTTAACACTTCATTCAGTATTAAAACAAGTTAGATTACTGTTACCTTTATTTTATAAACAGGTTTTATACACAGTTTCCTTTGTAATATCAGAATTGGGGAGATCATTTTAAAGATCCCATATTACACAAAATTTTAACATTGATTGTGAGCTTTAAGGCATATACTGCTGAACAAACACATACTTGGAGTTGTGGTTTGTTTCATTCACACATTTTTGAGTAATCCTTTATTATTATCTGTCTTCATCTCCAAAGATTAAAATACTCTGTTCCACCTTGATTCTAGTGAAGTTGTACGGAGATTAAAAACACAGTGGAGAAGTTTTGTGTGTTAAACATGTGTAAATGAAACAAAACACTTCCTTTAGATCTCCTTTAAATGTGCCCAATGTAACATTTACGGTAGAGTGTCCGTCACCTGTTTGACTCCATGTAGATGTTATTGTTTTTACTGGAATGTTCTACAGTATGGCATTTAATTCAACTATCTCCATAGAGACAAGCAGGGCAGATCTGTGGAGAAATGGGCCCGTTTACAATAAGAATGCATTGTGGTAGTTCTGAGAAATAAAACACCAGTACATGAATAATATAATATTTGTTTAGTGCCATACTGTGGAACATCCCTGGCAATGCAATGACATTACCATAGAGACACGCACATTGTAAACCCAGACACTGAAATAACTCATATGTTATTTAAACTCTCCAGTCATAATTTCAAAAAAGAGTTCTGAAAATGCAAATCATATGAGTTTTAAATGTCCATACATGGATTTAGTTCCATCTGAGGCTTTATGAGTTTGCTGTTTGTTTCTGTCAGAATATTTGAGTTAATTATGATTTTACGTCATACGTCTGCCTGATGCACGGAGTTGGAAAATTCACGATGGCTCACCGAAGCAGAGAAGACTGTTGTGCAAAAAAAGTTCAATATCTGTTTTAAATTGAATATTTTATTGTAAAGTTCTTGATTTCTTGAGCATAAATAGAAGTACAAACTTTATTTAACACAGCTAAGTTTGCCGTTTCTAAGAACCTGTGGTGCTATCAAGTTTAAGTCCACATGGTTCATTCCTCATGCTCTGCAGATGGTGGACTCTCCACCAGAAAAGTTACACAGTGCACATTTAAAGCCCGGGACCAAAGAGGAAATAATGTATCTTTTTTACAGTATGAGTTAGTACTGTATATAAAACAGGAAACATCTACATTAAAGTTCTTCTAACACATATATGAAACAAACACAACAAAGGTACATTTGTGATGAGGAACCAACAAACAGTATAACACACTAGGAGATCAGAAAATAACATAATATGAGCCCTTTAATGAAGACAAATGCAACATTGAGTTTCAAGAGGTTTTAACCATCGTCCAGTTTCTTTTTTCAATTCTTATTTACCCACTCAAAGTTGTATTTAGAGGGATTTATGCATGTTAAAAACAAATTTACTCAATGCATACATAGCCATTGTTGACTCTCTCTCTCACACACACACACACACACACACACAATAAAAACTCACAAATGTGAACTCCAGCTATCCATGTGGGCATTTAAGAAAAGCAAGCATTTAGGACAGGGGTCTCC